GAGAGAGAGAGAGAGAGAGAGAGAGAGAGAGAGAGAGAGAGAGAGAGAGAGAGAGAGAGAGAGAGAGAGTAAAGTCAACCACTTTTCTCAAGAGTAGCACTAACTTTGGCAAGATGGCGAGTCCTTACCCAATGGTCAAATACATCCTGGGAAGAAAACTACTGATGAGTCGGTCACATTCACCCTTTTGTATTGGGGTCGTGTTCAGCGAATACTCAACGTGTGCACACATGCACATACAAAAGAAAGAAAGGAAAAGAGAAAAAAATCAAAAGAAGTAACTGAAGAGAATACTCAATGATGGTTTAATTGAGTGATTAGACTAGTCCTTTCCCTTAGAAGAAAGGAATGGCTATCTATTTTTTTACTAAGAAAAAAGAGGCAAATTACGGACTCTCTGTGGCATAGAGGGAACATGAATTAACCAGTTTTCCCAAAGTATTGTTTTCTCCCTACCTTATCCTTGTTTTCTTTTGGCGCAGGTTCATGGAATTAAGGTGGACACAAATGAAGGTGGTGAAACAATGACTTCAGGAGGCTGGTCATCTTGCATTCTCCCTGCAGGATGTGAGATTAATGGCCCCCTATCTTCTTTCAATGAGTTCTTCTTCTTCTTCTTCTTCGTGAGATTAATGGCTTCTTCTTCTTCTTCTTCTTCTTCTTGGTTTCCAGCAAACAAGGTCCTCCTATTCTGAGAATCGACAATCCTGGCAGTTCAGTTCCTATTCCATAAGCAAGTCCTCAGATAAATACACACATTGTCAGTGTCTTGCCTTTTCATGTTACTTCCTCTTACCTTTCAATCGTCCACTAAGCCTGCCAGCTTTCTTTTTTTTCTTTCCATCTTTCTTTTTTTTCTTGTTTTGCGGAAGGGGTTAGCTCTTACACTCCGAAACTCTGCGGGATTTGAGTCCTCAGATAAATAGTAAATACACACATTGTCAGTGTCTTGCCTTTTCATGTTACTTCCTCTTACCTCTCAATCGTCCACTAAGCCTGCCATCTTTCTTTTTTTTCTTGTTTTGCGGAAGGGGTTAGCTCTTACACTCTGGAACTCTGCAGGATTTGATTTCTTGACCTGTGGATTTACAGTTCCCAGGTGTGCGCCATTCAGCCACCACGCAGGTTTTGCCCTTGCCCAATCCCCTCTCCTGCCGCCGCGGCCCCCCCCCCCCC